ACAGCGGGATGATCCGCGATAGAGGAACGGCGAACTGTGGGAATCCACTTCGCTTTCTCGAGCTGGAAATGCCATTAAGGCTGTAAAAGCGGAGCTGGGACTGGCGCCGTGCGCTCCGCTGGTGTGGAAGTCCCTCCGGTTGTAAAATAAGTCAGCAGGAGGCTAAAGCACACCAGCTGGGAAAAAAAAAATGAAAAAGAAGAGAAAAATCCCAGCGCTTGCACTTATTTACTGTGGTTTTTTACTTTCCCCCCTTAGGGGGCAGAGCGGGAGGAAGCGGAGGTGGGAGCGAAGCGGTGCTGTCGGAGCCTCCCGGGGCCGTACAGAGCTGTGCTCTTGGGGAGAAAGTCGGGGAGCTGCTCCCGGGGAACAGGGGGGTGTACCGCCGGTTTACACTCTCTTTCCACCCCCTTCCAAGGCGGGGAGGGGAAGGAAGGGACCAGAGTGCCGACAGCCTCTTCTGCCTCCTTTTCTTTCCTGATGCTGCTTAAATCTTGCTCAGCCCTTCTGGAGCCCCTCCGATGGTTTGGATGCTGTCTTTTGTTTCTAGCTCTGATTATCTGAGATCAGCTGAAATGACTGAAGTGATGATGAACACCCCAGCTATGGATGAGATTGGGCTAAGCCCCCGCAAGGACGGCCTGTCGTATCAGGTAAGTGCTTCGCTGGCTGCTTGGGCAGTAATCCCTTTTGGAATTGCCTGGGCTGGACTGCAAACACGGGTCTAATGTACCTTTCCATCTCCTGACCTAATAGCAGGTCTTGCTATAGTGAGAACTAGTCAACAGACTGGAATGCTTGCTTGGCAGGAGCCGGTTGTCTAAAATATCACTCAGTATTGGACCAGATTGGCAAAGGACTAGGCTGTTTCTGAAGTGATGGAGCCTCTGCTCAATCAGCACTCATGGGGTCTCAGTGGGAGACAGGGACATTGGTTGAAGGAGGATTTGTGCCACTCGACAGGCTGAGAGGACCGGGGGGTCTCTTTGTAACATGGCGTACAAATGGTTTGCCTGGAGCAGGAGGGAGCTGTTTATATGGCACTTAAATCTTTTATCGGTTTCTTGGGTTTCCTGACTGATGGGCTTGTTTGAGAGGGTTAACAGTCTAATATAAGATTCACTGAGGCCAGGGACAGCCTAAACAAGCCTTGAAATGTCACTGGAGATAACAGTACCTGAAGGTGTGAGCAGGATTTGTTTGGAAAGTTGTGAACAATGTAATTAGCTGTTAACCTCTAGATCAATGATTGGGGCAAAGAGGTCATCTTAGAAGCTAGCTCTAGCTTTAATCCTTTCATCTCAAGGTCTCTTTCATTTCCTAGCTTAAAGTTAATCAAAGGGCAAGTTGTGCCTCTTGGCCTGCTAGTTCCATATTTTCCTGCTCTTCCAGGAGACGACTTGATGATATGTAGCAGAGGTGCTGAGCGCACCTGCATCTGGTCTGTGCATTGAGTGACTCTTTACTGTCAGATCCTGATGCCAGGTTCTTCCTTTGCAGATGTTACACAACCTGCACAGAGACAGTTACTCTAAATGTGCATTCAAATGAGGTGTGCTGTTGTATGCTTACATATCTACGTCCGAAAAATGAGCTAAGAGGCAATGACAGTGCACTGAAGCATGAAATGAACTGAACTTTGGGCCATGGCTGAGGCCTCCAGCAGAAGCCAAAGCTGCGGGGAGGAAAAGGGGATGCGTTGCTTTTTTTGGTCAGAATTCTGGATCTGGATAGAGCATGTTGTTTGGTTTATTGCCTGTGTGTGGAAATAGCTGTGCTGTGCTTCAGTGCTCGAGTTAGTGGAAAGCATATGGCCCCTTTTTCCTCTCCTATAGAGGGAGTGTACGGCAATGAGAATGGTTATAAACCTGAAGCCATCTAACTAGCCTGCATGGAATGTTCCTTTGTCTTTGTGGGTCACCATATGAAGAGGCTTAACCCAGGCAGGTGAAATGCCTCTACCTGTAGAAATTTTCCAGTGAGAGGCAGTATCTAGGGTGCCCTGCTTGTTCTAATGATTGCTTCAGTGAGGTTTTTCACCAAGTGCTAATGACCTTGATAAGTCTGCTTGGGCCAACTGGGGAACAGGCCTGTTCAGTTTTGAGTGGATCATCTGAACCTAGAGGTGTGTGAGTCATAAAAGCTGATGCCTCATATCTAGGCAGGGTTTATGCATCCTGCTTCTCTCCTCTGTAGTGGTCTAGTGATAGATGACTTTTTTCAAATGCCTGCAAGGACTGAGAACTGCCTGCTGACACTCCACTCTGTTGTAAGCCAAATTGATGGCAGAAGGGGTTGAGATGGAAGATCCTGATGGGATGCCAGTGGTGTGTGGGCTGTGTATGAGGTCTGCCTCCAGATCAGGTTAGTGTAAAGAGGATTGGGGAGCAGGGTCCAGCCTTCCTCCTCTGGCTGCTAGGCTGGGAATGTCACAGTGTGCATCAAGGTAAGCCGAAAGCATCCTTAAAGGGTTGAAAACTCAAGTTAGAACAGCAAGGACAAATCTGATGCAAATCGCACTGTGAACTTTTTGTGCTGCCTTGGACTTCGGCACTTTGTGCTTCATCTTGCTGATGGAGAGAGTTTGGTACGTGGAAAACTGTATGTTAGTCTGAAGGCTGTAGTGCAATAACTTAAAACCAGACAGGGCTAATGGAGCATGACTGCTCCTACACTGAGGCTTGTTGTTCTAAGCTGCAACATCTTCCTCCGCTCATCTGCGGAGTCGGGCACTCATGATGTGAGTGTAACAGCCCTTGGCTGGCTACAAGGGCAAAAAAAGAAGGGGAGCCAGAACTGGGGGAGGCAAGCTTTTAATTTCAAAAGTTTCTCTTGTTCTAGTTGTAGAAGTTGTATTTATTTTATTGCAGAGGTTGCCTCAAACTGAGGTTCAGAATGTCCCCCTTTGGGCTGTGCAGAGCAGGGACTGCTTGGGAATTGGTCTGTAGGATCCTAGTCGTGAGCCTGGGGGCTGCTACTTCCACCATATGCAGACATCAAATGGTCTGGACCAGGGGAGATGGTGCAGCAGCTTTGCTGGAACCATACAGCACATCAGTATCTGCTGCAGGCAGACTGTCCAACCAACAGTACTGCTTCAAAGTATTTTGCCTTTACTTGGAAGTAAACTGAGGAAACAAACTCATACAGAGTATAAACTTCAGCAATCGGATTCCTCTGTCCCATGGAGTTCACTGAACTTCAGGGCTCCTGTCTGTCTTGCTGATTTTGGAGGGAACTTGGCTTATTGACTTTTTCCTTCTGCTTCCTCCACCCCTTGCCTCTGCTCATGCTCTGGAGTGTCTGTCTAGACATCAGCTGAAGGTGTGCACCCCCCAACCTGACCTTTGGTGGGCTGTCTGTCACTGCTCTTTAGGCAGTGATGTGAAAACTCAGACCACAGAAGTCAGATCAGTGATAATGGAGTTGCCTGTTTAGACTTAGTAGTTTTTGCAGTTTCACTTGCAAAATGTGCTTCCTCAGCACAGAAATGCCTTTTTCCAGTTAATACGCAAAAGGCTTGTAAGCTAATGTGCTAATCTCAAAACCTTTCTGTGTAAAGCAGTTGTGTTACTGTATTTGCGACTTAAAGCTGCTGTGCTCTGAGCCCCCTGAAGGTGGTTCAGCCAACAGATGTAGAGGGCCTGAGCAGAAGTGAATGGTGGAATCAGGGCAGGAGTCTCAGAGCAGGGCGACACAGACAAAACAGAAGATGCAGCTGAAGAGATGATGTCATGCTGGGTCTTGTGCCTGCAGTGAAGAGCTATTTCTGGATCTTTAATAGATGTCCCATAATTCCCATGGGACTTACTAAACAAAAACCTCGTTGAAATGCAGCTGATGGCTCAAGATGCCCCTGCTACAAACAGATGTGCCTATGGAGGGCTTTGTGCACTTCCTGCCTGCAAAAAGGCGAGCTGGGCCTTTTTCACTGCCAGTTGGAGCTAATGTACTGTTTGCTATTTTCCAGCCCCTAGATATACCTGTGCTCTGAAAAGCCTCCTTAGCATCCTCTGATGCTGTCTCTCAGCAGCGTGAACGATGCTCCCGAAACTGAGGCCAAATTAATCATTTCATGGAGCTGTTGTCAAAACGGCACCTCGATCTGAACCCTGCCTTGCTTCTTGGCAGTGGAGCTGGGTCTGAGCACAACCAAAAAACCACTTTGATGCCCGAAGCGTTTATTTTGAGCAAATGCTGTGTCCTGAGTTGAGCTATCGTGCTGTGGACTGGCTGTCTGACCGGCTCGCTGGTCCTGTGGGACCTTAGGCTCCCTCTTAGGAGATTGACATGCGGAGGCTGAGGATGCCTCATGTCATCAGCTGGGGTTTGGTTGTCATGGGGAGCTTGAGCTCTTTAAGTCATGATCGCATCATGCTGGGATCTGTCTAGGTTAATCGGTGCCACGGCTAGCTGTGAATCACGTCAAACTGGCTGAATCTAGGTAAATAGGCTTAACACTCCATCCAGTGTCGACAGCAAAAGCTTTGGATTGTTTGTCTCGTTTGGGAAATCGTTTTTGGTGAATGCAATGCCTTTTCACCAGCACCAGCGAAGCGCTGATGTTCTCAGGGAGCTGTGATGCTCGGTGCCGGTGCTGAGGAGTTTGGGCTGTGTCTATGGCATCTCCCCATCTAAACCTGGGGATCCAACATGTTACTGATCTAGGGGCTGATGGCAAAGGGTAGAAATTGAGCTTTCCTCTATGATTGTCTTGTGTGTAAGGTGCTTCATGTCTGTGCAACCTTGTTTTGTGCAGGTGAAGTTCTCCTCTATTAGAGCTGGTGTTTGCTACTGTGGAAGGTCCTTTGAAAATAGCCTGCCAGGCTTTTTTCCAGAAACTAAGTAGTAGTCATTTCCTTACAAACAAATATCCCTGAAATGTGGTGTGCAGCTTTTTTAATAAAAAAACCCAGCTCTGGAACAATCTTATCTCAAACAGCTGTGGGACAGGCTGAACCCAAGAAGGTCAGGCTGCAAAAAGCTGGTGATAGCAAGTGAGTTTAGGATAAGTTGTTCACATAGCACATCCAATGCATAGAATGGTTTGGGTTGGAAGGGACCTTAAAGATCATCTAGTTTCAACCCCCCTGCCATGGGCAGGGGCACCTTCCACTACATGAGGTTGCTCAAAGCCTGATCCAACCTGGCCTTGAACACTTCCAGGGATGAGGTAGCCACAACTTCTCTGGGCAACCTGTTCCAGTGCCCTCATTGTAAAAAATTTCTTCCTTATATCCAACCTAAATCTAGATGCATGGTTACTAGACAAGATTAGTAGGCTAAGTCAATGTGTATTCCAGAGTCTGGGACCTTAAATGAAGGCAGAAGCAGGATATGGGATAAACGGAGCCAAAACTGATCATGTTTGCAGCTATGCTCTTCAAAAAAGTGTTCCACTGAAATGCAAACGGAAGACAGCAGCTAATCAGAACATCTCGGTGCATGTTTTTTCCTCCCCACTCAATGCCTTGATACTTTCATGGAAAATTGTTATGATGTATGAAGTTTCCCAGCCACCGTCCCCCCGCATAGGGCAGTCTGTCCGTGACTGGGGAGTTGTCATTGTTCAGAAACCTGAGTCACAAGCTGCTATGTACATACTAGATGGAGCTCAGTTTTGAGTCATGACTACTGTGTAAGTAAATGTTATGTATTAGCGCTGCTTATAGCTGAAAAATTCCTTCAAAGAGTACACCAAGAGATGATTTAAATATTTCCTGAAATGAGCTTGCCATGCTTCTCAGTGGCAGTAAAGTTTTATTTCAAGAACTTAAATGCTGATTTGGGATTTGCAATATTGACTTGATACTGCTGAAGAGGCACAGAACTTAGCTTTTTAGTACTGGGAGGATGAGTGATATGTGTACATCAGGGGTGTATCCTGTATGTGAAATGGTATGCCTCTCAGTGCAGACTTTCCAGTCTTGTATAGAATTACAGTGAAGCGAAGCTTTCCCCCAAAACAGTAACTTAATTTGGAAAGATCTCGTTACCTTAGTCTCCCTGTAATGCGATTGAAATAGTTTTCAGCGCCATGGGAGGGAAGACAAGCATTTTAACTATGGGTGTTGGTATGGAGTACACATGTGGAAGTTGTTTTGAATTTACAAGTGTCACTTGGATTATGGTAGCTCTGAGCTAATCCTCTTAATTGTCTGACATCTCTCCTGCTTTTGGTGTTTCTCCATCCCTGTGAATGCTGAGAGAGGGTATAAGCCTCCCCAGGGCAATGAGAACTTTCCATTCTTGTTGCCAAGACTTCATTCAAGGATAGTAGAGCTAGATCATCCGAAACAGAGGCAAACATGATATTTCTAAAATCATTTCAAGTTCTGCTTTTCACTGCCCTTTCCAGATGCAGGGCAGGAGTTTGGTTGATTTGTGTGTGATCTGGATCAGTCCATGAGGAGACCAGTTCCCAAAACATCATCTGGAGAGGCCTGTGAAAACCAGCTTTGCAGTGAGCGAGGAGCTGTGTGTTGAGTCATGTGAGAAGTGATACACGTGTCTTCTGTGGACTCCAGAGGTGCTGGATGTGTCTCTCTGTGAGCCAGGAGTTGGGGCTCAGCTACAGAAGGAGGAAGGGGTCTCTGCGGATGCAGTTGCATCTGCTCGTGCTGTATCACACAAGTGACAAGAAAGAAGATACATTTGAACTGCTGCTAAACTTGCTTTTAGGTAGCCTTTGCAACCAGTTGCTGGTTGTCACTTGTCCCCAATCAAGTGACCAGATGAGCCAGAAGTAGGTGTCTGCTTCAGCTCTGTGGAAGGCGGCTCCCTCTGATACACAACAGGTAGAAGTTAACCCATTCCTTCTGTGCTCCTGGAGTGGTGGGGAGACGCAAAGTCTTCCTTCCATGCGCCTGAGCTGGGTAACGTGAGCAGAAGGGCTCATAGGCAGGTTTTGCTGGACAAGCTGTCCTGGCTGCTCTGCAGAGCTTGCAGGTCAGAGCTGAGCTGCTGCATTCCCTGTGGGGACTTTGTTGCAAGTCTGAGTTGTTTTTTTTTTTTCCTTCCCATTGTCTAAATCTGGAGTGGGACCAGATTAGTCACATGGGACCAACAAACACAGCCTGGCACACAGCAGAAAGCTAGTGCTTGCTCATCTTCTATAAAGAGTCTGGCAATACAGCTTATTTCAGAGTGAGCAGGGAGGCTGGCTGGGGTAACTTTTCCACCCAGCTTCCCTGGATACACAAAGTCTTAATTGGCAAACCTTTTTCCTTCAGTCCCTGTGCTTGGCCTAACGTGTTGCCCTGTTCATCACATGTGAGGAAATCTGCCTTTGTGTATTTTTTCCATTGACTGTCCACACCCCTTGAAAGTGCAGTTGCAACATCTTGCTTCATGCTGCCTCAACGATTAAAAAGCATGACTTAGTGGAAAAAATCCTGACCTTCTTGGGTTCGGCCTGTCCTGCAGCTGCTTGAGATAAGATTGTGCTAGGTTTTTATTTTTATTAAAAAAGCTACATACCACGTTTCGGGGATATTTGTTTGTAAGGAAATGACTACTACTTAGTTTCTGGAAAAAAAACCTGGCAGGCTATTTTCAAAGAAATTGCTCCAATTTGACCTAATGTGCTTAAAATGATAGCAGCCAAAGGTTAGTTTAATTATTATACCGCTATTTTTCTTGCACGGGAGGCTATTTTCATGACATTATCAGCTTATGTAACCTCCTGAACCACACTTCTTTTTCCATTGCAACCTTCTAAACCATGTAATGTCAAGGGTATTTTTTTTCCTATCCTGAGTTTAGATAACAAGTTGATGCTTAAGAGCCACTGACTACACTTCCAGTAACGCACTGCACGTCTGAAACAGCCTTTGTTTGGCCAAGCAGAAGCCACAAAGCCCCAGGAAACAGTCAGTGTCTCGCTGGTGCTGGGAGTGACTAATAGCAAGGACCTCATATTGCAGCGCCCATGTTAACGTGGCTGTGTTCAAAGACCTCGCTTGCTTTTGTGCACCTCAAAAGCATATAGGTGGTGAGTGCTGATGGTGGGAGCTGGCCTCCTGCATTGCTGTCCCCAGGACCAGATGGATGTGTGCAAACAGCCCGTGTTGTGCATTACCTTCACATTGAGTTGCTTGCCTGAGCATCCCCTCCCGAAGTTACTTTGTCTGACTTTGCAACCTAATGGCTTTCTCAAGTTTGTTGCCACAAAGCTTTGGATGTGAGGGGAAAAAAGCGGCTGAGTGGTACAAGACTGAATATTGACAAGGAAGTAGTGGTGTGGTTAATAGGTGCTAGGCTGAAGAACAAGCTGATAGGATGATGTTTCACTTTGGGATTTGGGCCAGGGCTTCCCAAGGTGGTGGGTACTTGTGTGATTGGCATGAGGAGTATGATGCTTCGTGGTTAATGCTCAGGGCTCCTGGATAAGAAACCTGCTTTTTGCAACTGGAACCACAAAGATCAAAGCGGATGAGATCTTGTTCTTGGACTGAGGCACCCAGAAGTGGTGTGCCCATCTGAGGCTAGCAGTGCTGTTCTCTGTGAGGATGCTCTGATGGCTTACTTGAATGCAGCTGGTGTTCAAAGAAAAATACAGTGCTTGACTCCTCACCTCATCTATGGCCTGGAGGGGAAAACATTTTATGATCTTTGGGGTGTTTAAATGCAACTGTAATGTGAAATGAGTGCTCTGATAAAATTGTTTGAATCAGATCAACAGATGGTAATTGTTTAATTTTGTGGTTACCAACCAGGGGATCTGATGTGGCAACTGGTTCTTGTAACCCAGCAATTCTCTTCTGGATGAGCTGGGGTTTGAAGCTGCTCCCTTAGTAGGGCATCCCTATAACTAACTGCAACCTTTTCTGTTCATGCTGCCATTCAGTCATGCAAACCTCCTGCTAACACTGCACTGCAGCAGCAGTTTTTCCCCTACCTGTGCCTTTGCTTTGGTTCCTAGTAGGACCAAAGCGTGCATCCCAGTGGCACTGCCAGCATGTATGGGCCCTGGTGCTGCTGCCATGCATGAGTGTGTGCACCCACGTGGCAAGTTACAGGTAGGAGGGAAGAGATAAGGTACTGCTCTGTGCACCTTGGGGAACTAGGGGTAAGGGGGTCTGCATATCACAGAATGATAGAATGGTTTGGGTTGGAAGGGACCTTAAAGATCATCTAGTTCCAACCCCCCTGCCATGGGCAGGAACACCTTCCACTAGACCAGGTTGCTCAAAACCCCATGCAACCTGGCCTTGCCAACCTGCCCTATTCCTTGCACCAGGTACCTCCTGCCCTAAGAAATATGGTCCAGTCTCCAACCCTTCGGCAACATGACTGTCCTCCTTTTGAGTTCAGTGCTGATGTGTGGTAGCTGTAGCATGCAGAACACTACCAAAATTATTTCTAAAATCTAGTTGAACTTCTCTTTCGTTCTGGTGCTGTGGCCCTGGAGTGATACCAGATACAGGCCCCTGCTGCAAGGGTCCAGACCGCTCTAGGACTGGGTTGCCATGTCCCACCTCCTCCCTTCTAGCAGCAGAGCCTGGAGCACAAGGCTGTTCTTGTGTGTAGCTTGACCAGCAGCAGGAAATGAGATCTCAGATTCTCTGATCGAGATAGCTCAGTGCGCAAACTCCTGAGCATTAACGCAAAAGCAGTGATGGTGGGGATGAGGTGTTCAGATAAATATCCAAAAGGCAGATGCCTGTTTGTGGAGTGCTATCCAAGCAAGTATGTGTCTTGGAAGCTGCTTGGGCAGCACTGGTTTCCCATACTCAGGTTAGAGAAGCTTATTCACAAGTTCAATAGTCCTGTCACTCAGTGGTTTGCTCTGTGCCCAGACTAGTCTGCCCCAAAGACCCAAGTGTCTCGAGAGTTGGGTTTTGGCTAAGACCACTTGAACACAACCCCTCTTACAAGCTCTTTCTTGTCTCTTTCAGATCTTTCCCGATCCCTCGGATTTCGACCGTTACTGTAAGCTGAAGGACCGCCTGCCCTCGATTGTGGTGGAGCCGACGGAGGGTGATGTGGAGAGTGGTGAGCTGAGGTGGCCACCTGAAGAGTTCCTTGTTCAGGAGGAGGAGGAAGAGGAGGAAGAAAACTGTGAAGATGCAAAGAAGGACAACAAGGAGCAATAAATGGTATCTGAGGAAAAGCAAGGGACCGCACCCTTCTGAAGGAAGAGCCACACTTCTTTGGAAAGTCTTTTTTAAAAAAAAGACAAGTTCAATTTTGCACCTGCGAGATCTTAGTTTTTTTGTATTCTCTGTATTGAGAACTGAAGCCCTCGGTGTCACCAGACCTCCTGAGGAAGGAAGGAAGTAACGCAGAGAAATGTTTGCTGTTCTCGAGATCACTATCTGTATTTTTCCGAGGCGGAGGCAGCAGTGAAATTCCAAGCACATGGTAGAGGGTGACCATGCGAGGGACCGCTGGAGGGGGGAGCTTGGGGAGGGGGAGGAAAGCTGGAGGTGGAAGCGTTCGGCTGGGAGCTGCCTCCGGCTGGCAGTGTGAGAACAGAGCCGGCATCTCTCAGATTTGCCTTTCTTACAGCTTCCATTTTGTGTGTTGGGGGGTGGAAGGGGTGTCCGTAGTGAAGCATGGCTGAATGCTCTCCTGATGAGGGGCCTGTAGTTCTCCCTGGTTCAGCACCTCCTAGGGTAACGTAAGCATCCTCTGTAGGAGTAGTTGGGTCTCTTGCTCTTGCTGGTGAGCCTGTTTTCCAGCCACTTTTCCCAAAGCTGTTTTTTCCCCCCTGCCTCTCTTTGCCTTTAGACTCTTCGATGCTGAACAGCTGTATTTGCAGGATAATGTTAGGCTGCTGCTTGTCATCTCCGCTGCAAGGCCCTCCTTTATCTTGCAGGTGGTTAGCGTGAGGTAATGCGCCTCCGATGTGAAGATGCTTCTGTCTGCAGCAAGAGCTCACGTAGGTTTGAACGCTTTGAATTTTTCCTCTCTTGTTTGCTGAGGCTACTCTGTGGTCAGCCTCATCTTGTACAGCGCCTGAAGCCAGATGATTTATGCCTCCTTACCTTGATGTCCTTGAGGCTGTAGGGTTTCATGTCTCCAGCTTGCTGGTCAGTGGCTCGTGAAGGCTGGGGTGGGGGATCTCCTTGAGCTTTTGTACTCTAGGGCTTTCTCTGAGCCTTGGCAGTGCAGGTAGGGATGTGCGCAGTGGAGAGTCCTGCCAGACCTGGAGGTGATCCAAAGATGAAACACCAGTTCTCGTGTGGATCACCAGGAGCAAAAGGGGGGCTTGCAGGAGCGGTCTGTTGGGAGAGGATTAGCCCAGGTGTCCTGAGACAAGATGCATTTCTGCTTTGTAGCAAGGCTGAAACATTCGTGGGTGTTTAATGAAGTGCAGACTGGCTTGCAGAGTCTGTGGTTGTCCTTTTCACCATATCCTGCTCCAAGGAGAAGTCATCCGTCTCCATTTGGGGAGGAGGCCAGTCTCTTGCCAGACAGGGTAACCTCCTGCTTTCCTGGAAAGTGATGATCTCGCAGCTTTGGGGACCAGCTTGGGAGCCGGTTGGTCTTGGGATAGGACAAGAAAAGTTACCACCTTAACCAAATCTGAGGTCGTGGAAGAGAAAAAGAAATGTCAAGGCCTTAACCAAACTTTCATAATAATCCCAATGCCACCCCCCCTTTGCTTATAACTGGTTCCATTTTTAAAATCTATTTGGACATGTGTGTATTTGTATTTTTAATACCTCATGAGTAGTTAAACGCTGGTGGGGGTTGGGAACTGCTTTTAACATGTTGGCAGGATTGTTTTAGTCTTGTCTTGCTTGTGTTTTAAACATAATGGCAATAATTTATCAGCTCTGCATAACTGTTTCAGACAGATAGGAGTTTGGAGACGAGTTAGCACAAAGCAGGAGAAATTCAGTGTACCTACACTGCGGCTGGTCCTCTGGTGCAGCAACGCAGACCCGGTTATACGTGCTCCCTGCCCGTCTTGGTGGATGGTTGATCACTGAACGGTCATCATGTGGTGATACCATTTTCTCTAGCGACGGATTCTGCTGTTGTATCTGTAACACTTGTTCTAGTCGTGCTGTCTTACTGGAATGAGCTTGTACACCTGCATACCAGCCAGTTGTCTTATTCCTAAGTGTTACTCTCTATTGGTCTCTACTGTCTGTACCACCAAGTCAAAGCTATATATCAAAGATATTACCACGTGGGCAGCAATGAGGTGGCGATCCTTGGACTTCAGACCTGCTGTCTGCCCTAAAGACTTGCATATTTCTGTCTGCATCCTTTTTTCGGAAGTATTGTGTATATTTCTATTTGTTGTTGAACGTATCTAAAGAACAAAGCACTCCAGTAAAACTCCTCCTGTCGTATGATATACATTCTATATTTCTGTAATTCTTTTTTGAGCCTCAGGGAGAAGCTAGCATTTTTTTCAAACTACATTTTTGTCACTGTGACAGTTGTAAATAAAGTTTGAAAATGCTTTTCAAACATACTGGCTTTGTTCTTACTCTGAAGTGGGTTGGGATGGTCAACCTTCCAGCCAACAGCTGATCCTTGTGTTTCAGGTCTGAGGTGTGCTGACTTGCAAGGCTAATGCAAATATCTGAAGACTCATGTCTATCGATTGAGACTGTTCTGTGGTCCTGGAGACGCTTGTTTCGTGCATGTGACTGACCTCAGAGCATGCCCTATGGGATTGTGAGCCTAAATCAACTTTGAGTGAGCAGCAGCATCACTGCCTTCCATCTTCCTACAGTTGCTTATTGCTGTGTGAAAGGCTGCAGCAAAGCGGTGCTCCAACTTACATGCATCTGAAAAATATGTATTTATATGTATAATTACTTATCTGTAATCTCTAACTCCTTACCTAACCTTACAGAGCATGAAATCATGGAGAATGGAGGCTATTCTTAGCGGCTCTTACTACCAGTGCACTACCTGTGCATGTTCCTTGTGCGTGCGCTTACCCTGCCTGGAGCAGCAAGCGTGAAGATAAGTCTTGTGCTGTTATGGTCCCAGCTGAGCTACTGGGGACTGTCTGCTTTGGCTGGTTTGGGTCTAGAGGTCAATTCTTGAATAGTCAGTTGTGCCTTGCCATGCACCGATGGTTGTGCGTTTCAGTGTGTGCTGCAGCTTGCGGTGCTGTCGCAGGAAGACCTGGAGGAAACTGCTTTTCTGAGTGTAATTCTGAACTTGCTTAGTACTGAGGTGTAGAAATCTGACTGTGCCAGGATTCAGTAATTCAAATTGTGTACTTAATGGGATTAAATTTTCCACTAAAACTGGGTGATAAGAAGCAAATGTCCTGGAATAGCCCTATCTTTCAGATACATAAAAGTTCCTGTGATTTGGCAAGTAACAGTCTCTAATCTTACCTATGCAAACAAGCTGGGCTGAGGCCAGAGTTATATTTACATGAGACTGGTTTAAATACACTCATGACCCTCAGATTTAATGCTTGAACGGAGGGTATGCTCAGCATGAGCCCCACAGCTCAAAGATGAGTTGTATCATGCTCAACCCTCATGAATGTTTTATGCCATAGAAACAAATGCAGTGTTGAAGCTTGCCTCTCCTTTCTTCAACTGACCTTGAGCTAAGATGCCTTGGTTTCTTCCCCTCTTAAGCATGGAGTTACTTTCCTTGTAGAATCTGCTGCAGCATTTCTAAGATGAAGTGCTGGTCTGCAGTGAGTGAAGATGTCTAGTCTTGCCTCAGAATGTTTCTGATTAAAATACAACACTGGTTAGGGAAACTGCAAATGAATTGAGCTTGTCTGCTATTTCCATGTGCTTCACACCAACAGGTTTTTCAGGCTCATGTCAAAATGAAGCCACTTGCTTTTTGTTTCCTGATGCATGATGCTATTTTAGGGCCAGACCAGAAGAGCTAGCCTCTGAGCGAAGCTCACTCTGCCTGGGGGTCTGCCTTGTATCAAGCTGGAGCAGTGCTGGCCGGAGAGCAATGGTGAGAAGGAGGCTCTTTCCTGGTCCTTGGCTCCAGCTGTTATGGTGAAACAAACTTGCATCATCAAATGAAAATGGGCTTGCTGCTGAATAGGTGACCCTGAGTCACTCCAAGAACTTCATGGGTGGCATAAGGACCTTTCTTTGCACATAGAGCAACGTTTCTTCTGGATCTCGTTTAGACCTGAGGCGTTTGTCCTCCTCAAAGCTTTGCCCAGTGGTTGCAACTGCTGACACAGCAAGCTGTGCATGGCTGCCCTGCTTAGTTCAGCCTGTGTTCACTCTCCCAAATACTTGGTTTGTTGTTTTCAGTGTGTATCTGCTTCTGTTTGGCTTCATCAAAGCCCACAGTGTCTTGAGACACACTGTGCAGATGACCTTTTGGCATCTGGTTTTGCCGATGTTTGGGTGCAGCTAGGTAAAATTGTTGCTCTGCAGGAGTGCAAAGATAATTCACCACCAGCGCTACACAGGGAGAGTAGCCATCCCCTAGGCACAGGTCTGCTTAGTATGTCCTTATTGTGAGCAACAGGAGAACTACTCCAGTTGACCTCCAGCTGCTGGGTGAGGATAACCTGGGCTGCCTCCTTCCCATTTTAGCTCCTGCAGGAAGCTCCTAGCAGCTGAGAATGTGGAGTTTCATCACTGTGATGTTCATCTGCTTTGTTATGCTTTGAAGCCTGATCAAACCCAAAATGAAATCCCCCAACTGCTAGTGTAGTCACCTGGAAGAAAACAAGGGATGTGAGGAGCAATGGTCTGTAATGCCCATGCTCTAAGCTCTCCAAGAGCAATCCTGGGCACTGAGCTTCTCTATATAAACAAGAGCAATTACCATCCCTAAATCCTCTGGGTGTTTCAGTGGTTCAGACGATGCTTTTTTGCTTATGTTTAGACAGAAAAGGAGGGGTTTAAGGAAAGCAAAGAGCTGGGCCTGAACTCCACGGAAGCACCACAGTGGTCTGATGTCCCTGCAGTTAGTAGGCATGTGTGCTGTGTGTAACTGGATCTGTGCTCCCCGGAGCACGTTATGGGTACATGTCTAACCCATCTTGCTGCAAGGTCATCGCTGCTGTGTTTCAGGGTCTCCTGGTGAAAAGCTGGAATTCAAGGGTGAGGGCAGGCGGGTTCCACTGCGACCTGTTTAGGGCTTTCTCTGCCTGGCTATGCTGGGGCAGAGTGAGGTGTGCTGGGGCTGCCAGCAGCAGAAGGGCTGTGTGCCAGGGTGCAGGGCATCTCCTGAGCTGCAGCTCTGCCTGGGAGGCCAGCAGCATCAGCAGCACAGCTTTTCAGCTGCTCTGGTTAAAAAGGTGTCTCTCTCCTACAGCTACAGCCATCATCCACCTTCAGAAAAGGCCATGCAAGCCTGGCTGGCAAGTGGCTTCGCTGAAGTAAGTGTG